GGTAATGAAACGTTTGCAAGAAAAGAACCAAGCTCAGAGAACCCCAAGGACTCCACAAAGGGTCCATAAATCAAAGGGGTTTTCTCCAACAAACAAATGAATAAATAATTCCATCCTCCCCTCTGAGTAAGCCAGCCAGCGCCCTCTGGATCCCTGCCAAGGTGACATGAAATCAGAAGAGATTATTTTCTATGAACGGGTTTTATACGTATTAAAATTAAAAAATGAATGCTGCTCTTATTGTTTCATAGAAAATACATTGATTCAGCAGCACCTACTTTATTTAGATGGTCCTTTGGTAACAGATGGAAAGCATTTTCTGGGAGTCATATTTCTATTCTATTTTGCCTAGAAAATGAAAACATCTTCATTTTCATTCTTAGCAGTGTGTATGTATGAGTGTGTGTGCCTGCAGGAAGCTGGCTTGTTCTGAAAATATGCCTTGAGAGGCTTTCTACTTTAAACTTCAGAACAAATATTTTAATTCTCTACAGCAACAAGAGATCTGGTATTCTCCTGAATGAAAATAAGCTCTGCCATGGTTGTCATCTTACCCTGATAATATCACAAGACAAGTAATGACAGATTAAGACCTGATTTGCAGAGGGGAAACTAAATTACAAGACTTTTATTAAGGATAAATAAACCTATTAACCGTTATCTAGAATACCAATTAGTAGAAGGAGCACTGACAATTTTATTTATCAACATTAAACACAATTATTAATTACAGACCTGACGAATCTAGCAGTAAGCAGAACATGTTGGGTGTGCTGGAGGCTTAAGCCCATTATATGAGAAGGATGATTACCAGAATCCTATGGGGAAATAAGTAATTGTAGTTGTAAAATTTTAATTGCCTTGGAATAAGGTAAATTATATTCTCTTGTCTTAGAATATAAATAGTATGGCATTAAGATACAAGCCTCAGTAGTTTTAAGCAGCAAATGATTTAGACATCTGAGCTATAAGGAAAGAAAAAGAAACAGTTATATATATTTGTAGCAGTTACTTACCTTCTGTTTTGAATGAGTAAATTCACTGATACTGATAAGCAGCTTTGAGTCTGCTTCCCCTGCAGGTCTTGGGTGTCATATATTGTTACCTTTGGATTAATGAAAGAAAGAAAAAAATGCTGCGGGGTTGCAAAAGGGCATACAGTTGTTTCAAGTAATCCATTGTTTCTCCTGAACCAATGTCTGTTACTGCATATGAATGTGCAATTTGAGTGGCTGTTAACAGGAATTTAATATCTCTATCTGTGAAGCTGGATGAGACATAGGAGGCTTTTCACCACCAGCATTACCTTGTTGCAGATTGCTACTGGTCAAGGTGACATAGCTCCAAAGTGACATAAACCTCCTAACTCTAAAAATATTGTGTCACACCTTTTAACAGATTTATCCAGAAAGTTACATTACTTTCCTTTTCCAAAATTCAATTCCTTTCATGAAAAATATTCTGCAGTGAGTGCCTGGTTTTGATTGTAGACTAAATTGCTTGAAACTTCTCTGGAAGAGGTTCTGAGAAGTCAGCTATGGGGCAAACAATCCTTCTTTCTTTTCACCCCTGAATTCAGTACAACTTAATCAGTTTTCGAGTGCAGTTGCTTAGAATGGGAGCATTAAAAGGGCTCTACCCTATGCAGGAACTTGTCATTCTATTATTTTCTCCATCAGATATTTCCAAACCTTTTTTATGTATCCACAGACAAACCAACTTTATTAATAGACTCTAGTTCTTTTTCTTTCAAAGATCCGAAATCCTGGCTTTCAGGACATTTGCTCACCAATACAGCAAGAAATTCATTTTCAAAACTCATGGACAAACTTTGCATCATGATGGAAGTTACTCCAGTGGACAGCAGCAGGAGCATGACTTATGTAGAGAAAGATTCCTTGGTTCAAAGACTGGCTCGTGGGCTCCATAAAATAAATGCACAGACACTTGAAGCAGGGATAACTGACAGGACCCCTGCTATGGTTGGTATGAGTATGATCAGATACATTACAGTCGGTTTTCCATTGTTTCAGATTTTAAAATGTTAATCCTTTCTTAGTTTATGTAGCATTCATTAGACTGCTCAGTTTTCTAAAGAAAAATTGAGGAGGTGCAAGAAAAGAGGCGATATCTTTCACGCTTTGCCTAAATTTGATATTATTTCAGTAATTCTTTTCTAAAACCTTTTAGCCTCCTTTCTGTCGTTTGCCGCTCAAGGCAATGTGCAATGTTCTTTTAAAATACCGCTGTAAGGTAATGGATGATTTTAATTTCAAAAACACTATGATTACCCACTGCATGTTTAGGATGCATGCTGTTACCAAAGACATTTTCCAAAAATACAGTAACCGCTTCTCATGCTTATTTTCGTTTTCAGAAAATACCCTCTGTGTATATTTTTTTAGAATTGCTCTTAGAATACTTTACACTTATGTGTGAATTTAGAAAAGGGGAGCTTAATCTTAATTTGCTCAGGTATTAAAAGCTATTGATTTATTGCCCAACCAGCACACTTTCTAGCTAACGACATTGTTCCTGTTTTTAATACCAGAAAAACATAGCATCCTTGCAGAAGCAGTTATTTGAATTTACACAAAGGCTGCACACAACAGAAGTAGAACGGCGGTCACTGCGCTTGGAGCTCACAGAATTCAAACGGAATTTGAATGAGATGAAGAAAGAGGCTGACAAAGCTCATAGTTTGCAAGAGCAATTAAATGTGTTTAAGCAAAATGTAAGTATATTTGATTAGAAAGAGGGGAAAAAATAATCAGATTTAAAGGAGGGAATTCTATTCTATTTAGTGTTCTTTTAAAAAACCAGTGAAAAACCTCTACATTCTTAGGTAGGAGTCTTACATTCTTTCTTCCCCTAACACATACACAAAACCCCTCTCTATGTCTTGTAAATCCATCCCAGCTGTGAGTCAGGTATATTGAAAGGGAAGGCAAAAGTGACTCCTTGTACAATTAGTCCCTTATATTGCAGAATAAGGTGGATTGAGTAAATAATCAGTTCAGATATTCAGAAAAGCTGAGTTCTTGGTCTGTTAAATTATGTTGTTTGTGCTGTGGGAGAATTGGAATTTGAAAACTCAAATGGTGTATTGACAACATAATTCAGATAGCATGCTTTGTGTATACATTCTACTTATATTGCATGCTGTATTGCAAACAGTTGGCCTCTTGTTGAACAAACAAGTCTTCTGTACATGTTGCAAAAATCTCCGTTTCTGCCCTGTCCACGTTAGATTGAGCAGGTGATCTAATAGGGTTTATTATGTGGCAACAGCACAGGAGGCAGAGTATTTGCAGGTGGGCAGTATTTGCTGCTGCTTCATGCAACTGGAGGCGATCACCATTCACGAAGCCCCGTGTGTCCTGTTGCCACATATAGCAGCTTGGGCTTCTGAAGCCCTTTCATTTGCACGTCATAATTGTTTGTGTCCAGGAATTCTGTAAAGGCCACATGTCTTCTAGAAATAATCTAAAAGGAATAATTAATTTGACAAACACGAAAAAAGGATAGAATACATATGGAGTAATTAAGTCCTTTCAACCTATTTCAAATATGACTTCCTCTAAGTAGTCATTATTATGCATAAAAGAATTTAGCTCTGGCCGTGGGAAGGAAAGGAGAAAGGTGAAATGGTTGCTCGGTCCTGAGAAAGTAGAAAGTGGGAGAAGGAGACTCAGAACAGCCCCATCTTGACTTTAAAAGGATCCATAAAAAGGGGGAGCAAAGGTTCTTAAAAAGGGGCAAGCTTTCCAGATTCTGTTAATAAAGTACAGCAGAATAAAGTAGCGTTCCTGGAATCCCTGCCGTGTCTGTTCCTAGATGAAGACTACCTCGGAGGGCTGACACTAATTTAGTCCAATGCTTTGCTTGGGATTTTTCCTTTCCTTTTTATCTGCTATTGGTACAGATGTAAACACCCCTCCCTGCAGAACATGGAGATGGGAAAGTACCATTTTTTAATATCATCTCAGAGCTTGGATCCTGCCCCAGTAAAATTGTAGTCTGATCTCCTGAATTAACTGTTTTAGGTAGAGAGAGAAGGCTTTAGCTTTATTGTCTCGCAACATGTAAATTGGCAACAATGGATAAATAAAGACTAGGGTTCCATAGATTGGTATCCAGTTTTTCCAAAACGTTTTACATATTACACAATAAGGCATTAGGTAAAGCCTGTGTGGCTCTGTGCTTAAACACATAGAACAGTGTGGAAGTTCTGTTCAAATTCACTCCTTTTGTAGAATAATAAATAATTAGTTATATAACCTCTTTCTTGGGATAATTTGAAAGAGAAGCTTTCTTTATGTGTGCACTTATGCTTCAGCTTTTTGAGGAAATCTTGCAAATAAAAATCACCTGGCATTAACATTGTCTAATGGCCCTGGCTTGGAGAGGAGAGCCCCTAGGGCAAATATATTGAGCGCTTTAAAACTTCTACATTAGAATGTTGCATATTGGCAAGTGGGATACTGAAAATCAAGTGTATAAACAATGCTGCTGCTTCATGACAGAACACAATTTATTTCCTTTATCAGAAATTGATCACCCATGAGAGGTTTGAAAGTGCATGTGAAGAACTAAATAATGCATTACTTCGGGAGCAGCAGGCACAAATGCTTTTGAACAAACAGGCCCAGCAGCTCCAGGAGTTGCAATATAAACTGGAATTGCATTCTTCTGAAGAGGCAGACAAAAACCAAACTCTCAGTGATGCTGTAAAGGTAGGATGGCATTTGTTCAAAAGTAAAAAAATAAAAATAAAAATCCGGTTTTCACCTGAAAGCAGTGTTTAGGTTTTGCGGTCCACGGAAGCGATATAAAGTACAGCAATTTAAGGCCATTCAGGTAAACAGAGACTTGAGGTGGAAAAGCCACTTTGATAGAAAGAGGAAAACAGCCCAAGCGGATATCTATCAAAATGGAGGGCAACTTCTTTTCTTTCGTAAAATTAAACGAAGTATAAAAATAGACCCTCTGCTGGTTGTCGAGAAAGCAGAAGGACACAGGTCCTGTGTGTTCTCCCGCCCCCCACCCCTGCCCCCCAGCATGTTGAATTTAAAATGCATTTAGGAGTTTATTTCATCCTCCTGACATTGTTTCAAAGAATTAGTCTGGACAGAGGGGAATTTGTTCATAACCAGAGAGGAGAGAGGCTCATACTCTTGTGGTCAACTCCTGATCCCTAAACCATAGTTATTTTTCTTTCTGTTCCGTAGAAGGCCAGGGATACAGTTAATTGGCCAGTTGCTCTACAATTTTACAGTATTTATTACATATGCATGTTTTCCTCTGGGGAGCTGTGCAAGCTATGTAATCAGTGCATATTCATATATAGCTGTGCTGTTCCCTTACTTCTTCCTGAAAAAGGAGATGTAACAGGTTTTCCTCTGTATTATAAAATAGATGGGGGTCAGTGGTGACTTTATTGCTGCAGCTCACGATCGTTCTTTGCCATATGGTCTTTTTCTCTTGTCAAGATGGAAAGGGGGTGGGGAGAAGGAAATATGGCTACTTGTATTGCTCAGACAGTTTCAATACTGCAAGATGGTTTCATTTCAGGAGTGCTAACATGTCTGCAGTTTTGTAATGCCATTGCAAGACTTCTGCTTGGAAATAAAGTTGATGCCTACAAAATGGCAAACTAGTTTCCTGACAGAAGTGGGGACACCCCCACTTTATCTTTGAGTGGCCATGCTCTGTAAAGTAGGTGAATCAGAACTAAGAAATAGATGAGGCCATGAGAAAAATGAAATTTGATTTATCGAAATAAGTTTAAGGAAGGAAAACAGATTCGATTAAATTAAATTTTAATTAAAGTTAAAGTAATTAGATACAATTAATAAGTTAATCTGTTAATAATTTGATTCGTTCCCCCTTCTGTTAATTTGTCCTGATTACCATTCTTAGTTTCAATAGGGTGTCAATTGCTGATGTACCTGGGCAATATCACCAGAGGAGGTTAACCTTAATTTTAACCTAGTTAAAATTAGTGCTTCAAGAATGTAAACCAAAGGGTTTTTAAACATTTCTCTATATAAACAGGATCAGTGAATGACATATCCAAGAGTCATAGGGTTTTTCTATGCAAAGCAGAATATATATAAATAAATAATAATTGGGAATAACATTCAAAACTTTATCCAATTTTGTTCTAGAAAAACAAGCTATAGATACTAATAAGATTCTTCAAAGATGACAAGTAATTATAAAAGCACATAACTTCCAATAGATGTACAAAATGTATTGATTCATAAAACAATGTTTGGAGGGGGAAAAAAAAGCTTGCTTATTTATTCATTGAATTTGAAAACCTGTAGTTTTTAAGAACCTTTCATATTAATGATAATAAAGGCATCAAAGAATAAAGTTGATAATTATACACTACCTACTTTGAGTTACTTCTACTTTATTGATAGGCTACATTAACAGAATCTTGCAAGTCTGAAAGTACAAATCTCCTGCCATCCCTATTTACTGCCTGATCAGTTAGGGTGGGTTCTTTCTACGTTTCTTTCTCTGTCACTCAGTTGGGGGCTCCTCCCCCTTTTATCAGATCATTCCGTGGCTGCAACGTTTCCCCCCGTCTTCCAAGTTCATTCTCACATTCCATTACATCACCCTCCCCTTCAGACTCATCCCCCACTTCCGAGTTCCCAGGGGAAACAGGCTATGGTCTGCGGGAATGGAATGCAGATGCATCACTCTTCTCCTCTCCTAGTAGCTCCCTGAGATCACATGAGGCTTTCCGTAAGCCATCTGCTCCAGTCAAGGTGACAGCCACCCCTCCCTTGGGAATCTGTTGATCTCCCCCCTCCAGTCCTGCATACCTGATGTGGAAGGAGCTGATTCATTTCCCCCTACTCAGTTTCTTGCTATTCCCAAGGCCCCCTCCACCCCATAGAAAAACTCCTGCTTGTCTTGGCCAGTGCCTGACTCCTACAAGGCTGGTAGCTGCCGAGGATGGGGTTTGCTGGGGTACTGGTCATGAAAGCAGTTCACCAATTGTGGCACATGCACATCTGTTGCTGTCTCCCATGATCTTTCTGACTCTGGGTGGGCTTTCCAGTGCATCAAGTACTCGACCCACTTCTCTCTACGTCTAGAGTCTAACACCTCATATTCTTCCTCCCTGTTTACTAGAATGGGAGGGAGCGTGCTGTTTGTGAACATAGAGTGCAGGAGGGAGCTTCCTTTACAAGCAAAGACCGATGGAACATGGGGTGAACCTTCACTGATGCCAGCAACTGCAGATGAAAAGCCATTGGGTTGATTTGCTTAATCACTGGGAAAGGGCCAATAAATTTTCAGTCCAGTTTCTTGGAAGGTCTTACAGAAGTTAGACATTTTGTAGAAAGCCACACCAAATCCCCTTCTGCAGTTCTAGCTCTCTCCTCTCTATGTGCATTTGCTGCTTTTTTGTACATGAACTTTGCTAGTTCGAGCTGTTCCTTTAAGAGGTTTCGGGCTGCTTGCCTCTTGTGCAGGAAATCTGTGGCACAAGGGATGGTGCTTTCTTGCCTGGTTGTTGGTAAGACCTGTGTGTGGAATCCATTAGTCGCCTGAAACGGGGACATACCAATAGAGGAGTGTGCTGCATTGTTGTAAGCAAATTCAGCAAGGGGTATGAGCTCAGTCCAGTTGTCTTGCTGATAAGAAATATAGCATTTTAGATATTGCTGCAATAGTTGGTTAACCTTCTTAGCTTCTCAGTTTGCCTCCAGGTGGTGTGAGGAAGACAAATGAATTTTAATATTTAATAAGTGCAAGAGGGCCCTCCAAAATTTGGAAGTGATTTGACTTCCTCTGTCTGTTATGACATGATTGATCAATCCTCTGTATCTAAAGATGTGGTCCAAAAAGAGTTGAGCCGTTTCTTGGGCCATTGGGAAACCCTTGCAAGGAATAAAATGGGCCAATTTGGTAAATAAATCCACTACTACCGCTATGGTAGTATATCCCTGCACTGGAAGAAGATCAGTGATGAAATCTAGAGAAAAAGTGTCCCATGGTTGAGAAGGAGTTCCCTGTGGTTGCAAGAGCCCAGATGGCTTACCAAGGACTTGCTTTGCTCTACAACAGACATGACAAGAGGAAATATAATTCTTTATGCCGGCATGGACATTCGGCCACCAAAACTCTCTGAGGGTTCTATGTTGGATTTTAAATACAACCCCCCCCCCCTCCGGTACCCTGCTGTTTTGTTGTTGTGGCACAGTTGTAGTACTTCCTCCCTTAAGGGAAGAGAAACATACGAACATCCATTGTACAACAGCTGCCCTCCCTCCACTATGAAAGGTGAAACAGTACCTTGTTGGGCTCCCTAGAGGTCATCCATCCAGGCCCTGGCATACACATTCTGCTGCTGCTGTGTCCTAATCCAATCAAAGAGATCAACAGCTTGTTTTCCTGCTCCCAGCCTTTCATGTTGGTCTGATTTATGGTGTGACTCTAAGTTGCATGGCTGCAGTATTGTTGCTGGGTGGTGATGGTGGTGACTGGGGAACCTCATACTCTGCCTTGTGTGAGAGGGCATCTGGAAGCTTGTTCTGGAAACCTGGGACATTTGAGATGTAAAAATCAAAGTGGGACAAAAATTGTGCCCACCTGATTTATCAAGGGGTGAGAGATTTGGTGTTGTGCAGAATCTCTAGATTTTTATAGTCTGTACGTACATGTAGAGGCCATGTTACTCCTTCCAGCAGGTGTCTCCATTGTTGAAAGGCATTTTTTACTGCCAGTAACTCTTTATTGAAAATGTCATAGTTCCTTTCTGCTGGGAGGAGTGCTTTGGAGTAAAAGGCACATGATAGTAAATCTGCCCCACCTGTCTTCTCTGCCTGGAGTAGAACCACTCCTACCACCACATCTGAGGCATCTGTTTGCACAACAAAGGGACAGGAGGGATCAGGGTGACAGAGGAGATGCTGAGAAGCAAAGAGCTGCTTTAATTCTTGAAACACCACTTGCTCTTGGGTTGACCAGGAGAATTGCCGACCCTTTCTTAGGAGCTGGGATAGTAGTTTCACAAGCTCAGCAAAATTAGGGATGAATTTCCTGTAGAAATGAGCAAAGCTGAGAAAGCGCCGCACATCTTCTGCATTACTTGGGGGGGGGGGCGGTACCATGATAGAATAGCCTGTACGTTTGCTGGATCCATCTCCATGCCTTCTGTGGAGATTCTGAAACTGCCAAATTGGGCAGTTGGGCAGATCAAATGTGCAGTTTTCTAATTTAGCTTGTTGTTCCGTAATTTTTGCAATACATTTCTGACATGGGTTACATGCAAAGAGGGATCTTTGGAATAAACTAATCTATCATCCAAGTATATGACTACATATTTATCTAAAATGTCTGCAAATATTTGCTTCACAAATCTAGAAAAAACAGCTCCACAGTTAACCAGGCCGAATGGCATTACTGCGTATTCAAATTTTCCATACCTTGTATTAAAGGCTGTTAAATACTCATGCCCTTCTTTCATTCTGAGTAGGTTGTAAGCACTTCTCAAGTCTAGTTTAGTAAGATGCATGCCTTTTGTAGCCTGTCTACTAGATTGGAGATAAGTGGGAGTGGATAATGGTCTCTAATTGTCATTCTGCTTAGGTCTTTGTAGTCATGAACTGTACACATGTGGGCTCCCTCCTTTCCCTTCAGAGTGGCTGCTGTTTCTCCTTGCTTTTTGGGGACAAAGAATGTGGGTGCCGATGCTAGTGAATTGGAA